AAAAAAGGTCAGAAAGTCTCACRATATTTCACTCTAGGCAAAGAGAGGGAAATTAGGGAAAAAAGAAAACCTTCCACTCTTCCCTCACAATAAGACTAAAATCCTTTCATCTTCCCAAAGGAAAGAAAAAGGAACTTTCATTTTGTCTTAGTAGGAAGTTTGGGAGGCACAAGTATAATCAATTTAAAAATATCAGGCTACAATCCAATTTCAATCACAGTACAAATGAAGTCCTGTGCAGCTCTCCCCAAAAAAAAAATCTTTATCCTTCCAATATTCTCTTTTTTCCTTTCTTTAAATACCATTTATGTCTCTRGGTTTTTTTCCTCTTTTGTTCTCTTTCTCATTAGAGCAAAGCAAAGGTGCCCTTGTGTTACTCTTTCCATCAACAGTGATTCCCTAAAGAGAAGTAGTAAGAGCAACACTGAAGCAGACACAGAAACAGTTCAMGCTCCTGTGCTTATGCACATTTATACTACTTCAACTCCAGAAGTGAAAACATTCTGTTGGTTGTACCTTTTGGCTCTTGAACTATGAGGTGAGTGCATTCATTCATCTTGAGCTGCCCCGTGTAYTGCCCACCATGCTCAGCAGTGAGGCGCTGGACTTCTTTCCTGTCTGAGCTGCTYAAGCCAGTTACACAAATGGTGCAGCCAAGGAACACAGGACAARCATAGTCTTCCATGTTAACATCGGTGTACCTCATTATGCTACAGAAACCAAAAGAGAAARTATTTGCTTTCTAAGTGAAATCAACCAGAAAAAGAAATCAGCCTGTACATAAGAATTCCCAGTCCCCAAAACAAAATCAGTTTTGTTTTTTTCATACCCTTGCTGAGACTTATCCCACAATGTCTTAACCCARGAAGGAAGCAAAATAGGTTTCTTCAGGGAAGCAGCTACCAAGTATTTCTTGCTGCCAACTTCTCCAGCTATCAAATGAGTTACTGACACGTTGAGGTCTCTGTATACACATCCACCCATCATTTGCACATATTTATGAACTTCTTCCTGGATGGGCAAAAAAAAATACAGAAAAATAACATGGGAAAAAAGAACCCACAGTCTTTTTCACCTTACACCAAAAACATGGATTTCAATTGTCTGTGATTTCCCCTAAAAACTGCTCAAAAAATACTAAATAGATATATATGGAAGCCATAAAAACATAACTAGAATTTACTTTTTATTTGCACTTATAATAAGCCGCACATAATAAATACCCTAAATAAAAACACTACAATTACACTGCATGAGCAAAATTTTGCAGATGGTTGACATTTTAGGTAGATTTAGAAAAAGGCATTGGAATAAATTTAAAGATATAAATCATATTTGAGGTGTATTAATATGTGAGTAAACAACACATAGTATACAAGCTACAAAAGACTTGATGAATCTAGACATAGATACAATGAGACATGTATGGTATGACTGCTGCCTTAGTAATGAGCCATATGAAACAAATGTCAGCAAAAAGCAGCTAAACAATCCACCCTCGGGAAGGCCTTACCCTCACATCCTTCTCCAGGCTGGTACAGGACACTGTGACATCGGCCATGGTCATGTTGTACACGGGATACTCAGCTCTTGGGACACACCGCTGTGACTGCATGCAGTACAGGACTACCTGTGGTCCAACAATCCGACAGCCAAGCTACAAAAACATAACAGAATATGCACAAACAAAATAAGGAAAGAGTACACTGAAAGTATCAGGAAGGCTTTCCTTGTCCCTGCATTTTGAGGAAGGCAGGGCTCTTTTAGTCTGTCCTCCCCTTCTCCTCCAGCATCTCCAGGTAGCTGACAGTTTTGTTTTTACTTTCAGCTGTGGATTTTCTGTCCAATCATTGTAGATTTTCTGGCCTCAATAAAAGCAGCTGATGCTGTGGCTATGGCCAAAGRATTCCAGCTGCCTATCTTTGTCCATTAGATAATTCCTTGCAGGTCAAACCAAATCATGTTTATCAAAAGATAAAAAGCGTAAGAACCAGCTTAGGGACTCCAGCAGAATCAGAACCAACCCTACCATTTATTTTTCCAAATGTTTGACAATAATCATTATGCTTTGCTGGTCATCTTCTTCCCTAAATAAAGAATGCAGTGAAGTTTGTACTGTGACAGTCAGTGCAGGAAAGAACATGCAGAATGTAAGTATGGACAGGAGTGCTTATAAAAAGGAAAGAACAGATCTCAAAGTAAGTTGCTGGGTGATGTACCTTTTTGAGATGACTGAAACCCACACCTCTGAAAGGATCACAAATGTAAAGTGATTTATCATTTTCTTTTATATTGAGTACTGTTTCTTCTTCAAGGATCTGGAGATGATCTTCTGACTGGAATTCTTTTATAGACTGCAGGTAAACAATGCATATGACAACATTTATTTAATCAATAAACAATTAATAAATAGCCAATCCTGTGCAAACTACACAAGTGCATCTCCTTGAAACAGCTCTCAACTAAGCTACCACACAAACATGTATTGGCAGAARAAAGGGCTAAAACACCGCATAGGTGTCCCCTTCATTCCCTTGAGTCTTCACAATATTCTGACTTGAAAATTCAGCAGAGAAGCTTTCAGGACCTGATCCTGCACCCAGTGTCTTTGGCTCCCACTAATCTCCCAAGGTGTAAAACAGCATCCTTCCAAAATTTGTGCTTTGATAAGTGACCACCATTCAGGCCTTCCAGGCTACATGTCCCTTCCCTACATCCCACCAGGTTTTGAAAGCATAAAATTATAAAAAATTATGTAAAATCGTTCTTATTCAACAAACTTTATTACACACTAAGCATCCCTGCTATAGAAACAGCTTTATTTCCAGATGCACACATGTAAGCTAGCTTATTGTACACCACATACAGCTAACTCAGCCACATAAATCACATGGCAATTCACCAAGCTCACACAGKTGACCAAACCCACTTACCTCAAGGGCTTTAGAAAAATACTCCGAGCTCCCGGAAGACTTTATGAACTTCACAAAAAACGGCTCCTTACTATTTCTCATCCTTCAACTAAGAATCAAAACCCAGTGAGCGCCCTGACATTCCCGCCACAACCCGGAACCCCTCTGGCACCGTCCCTGTCCCCGCCGGGCTCCGGGTCCGGCCCACACCGTCCGGCCTCGGCGGCGCCGACTTCAAACGGGGACGGAGGGGCGGGGACTGGCCGGACCCACCGGGAGGCCCCTTCCCCGCGGGGCCCGAGGCCTGCACAGAAAGGTCCCTGCTGGGCAGCGGGTGCCCGACGCTCCCCGTCCCCACAAACCCGACCCCGCCGCCGCCGCGCCCCCAAAACGCCTCACCCGCGCGGGAAAGCGGCGGCAGCACTGCGCAGGCGCGGGGCGGAGC